TGCATACCACCTCAAAGACTTAACTTTTTTCCTGAACAGAGAACAACTTTTTGTAAGGCGCTGAAGAAAACAAAATTCACTGCCCTTGACTTACAAGGTGGTTAAAGCTGGTGTTCCTGGAAGACTTGGAACATCTGTTAAAATTATGCCAAAGAACTGCTTTATCTTTCTGTGATCAAGCTTAAGCTATCAGAGGGATTTTCCACCTACACAAAAACCACACAAGTGGCTAAGTGCCAGATAGTGTTGCCTTCCTCCTGAGAGAACCAAAGGGTTCCTACAGATTTGAAAATATCCTTTCTGAGGACTGCAAAGCTGCTCCAGAGACCAGGACCACTCTCTTTCTAGTCCTACCCTCCCACACTGCTCCCACTGGTTTCCAAACTCAGAGTACATTTACCCAGCTCAAAGCCCTTGTGTCAGTTGTCCTGGGCTACTAAGAGGCCTCTAGTTCCTGCCTCAAACTTGACAAACTTTTTTCTATCACATCTCTGCATAAATGTCACCTGTGAGATGACATTTCTGACTTCTTGGATAGGCCCCAGGGGCCTGCCATGTCACTCTAGGAGGGTCAGGATGAACACAAGAGCATGCATGGCAAGTAGCTTTGTGTCCAATGCTAAGGTCACCTCCTCCACTAGGCCCCTCACAGGTGATTCCTTATTAGAGAGAAAGCAATGTTGTTTTTTTTAACTTTTAAAAAAAAGGTTTATCAAGGCTCTGGAATTGAAAAAAAGATCACATACTAGCAGAGGGAATAATCCTAATGACTGTCAGGGAAACTACACAGTCAACAAGCAATGCTGCACTATTTTAAAATATGCTCAATTGTGCATCCGTGTGAAAATCCCTACACCAGTAACATCTAGAGACTCAGGTGTGTAGAGACCTGGGAACTGAAGGCAAACTACAAAGGAAACAAGGTATGCAGCAAACCTACCCCAAGAACTGCTAGCTCTAAGCATACATTTCAGCTGATCACTCAGTCTGTCTAAAGTCTGATATGACCTTAACAGAAGACAACTGTTAAAAGCTGAAAATAATGCCAAGCAAAATTTCACCACCAAAGTCATTAGAAGATAAAGGATTTTAAATACAAGCTGTTGGGTTCAAACAAGGAAAAAGTGCATTCTTATCTACAGAACAGGAAGCTCCAGAGGAAAACACACTTCAGGCCATCTAGCTCTCTTCACTCTCCTTCTTCAGCAATGAGCCTCACCAAAATCTAGAAACCCTTCTCTTGGCCACAAGCACCTAAATCATATCAACAGAACTTAAAAGGAGGGGAGAGAAAGAAAGAAAAACTTGTCAGAGGACACTTACAGATCTGGGCCACAAATTTCCCTGTTCAGTATATGACATTGCAAAAAAAAAAAATAAACAATAAACAAAATAAATAAAAAAAAAGAAAGAAAAAGAAAAAAGTATGGGGGAGTTTGAGACACGGTTTCTCTGTTTAACAGCCCTAGCTGCCCTAGAACTAACTCTGTAGACCAGACTAGCCTCAAACTCACAGATCTGCCTGCTTCTGCCTATCAAGTGCTGGGATTAAAGGTGTGTGCCACCACTGCCTGACAGACAAAAATATTTTGACACTTGATACTGACAAAAAGTTATTGTTTAAGCACAAAGAGCCTTTTGGAAAGAGCTCTAGCTTGCTAGCATCCCTTTAACAGGTATACTTACTTTTATAGATAGATATTAAGAAGGTTTCCTATTACACACTTCCCGCTTACTGAAATGTGCTGTGATAATAACCAAGTCCCACTTTACTCATTCTATACAGCAGCAATTCCCAGATTCTCAGAAATATGGGGAGCTGTTTGTCATATAAACTTCATCACCCCATCTGCTGTCTGTAAAAAATATTCTGCCTAACATGGAGGCACACATCTGTAATCCCAGCAGGCTTTTATCTCCAGGGGCTGAGGCAGGAGCATCAAGTTTAGAGCAAAACTCTACTACACCGTTAAACTTTTCCCCATGAACAGTACCAATAAAATATAGGCCTATCATCCTATTTTCTGTCAATTCCCTTTATCACTTAAAACTTTCTCTATTATCAGGGCCTGTAGGGAGTGATGCTCTTCCCAGTTACCAATGTTGAATTAAAAAAAAAAATCAGGAAACAGAATCAAATAAGAATGTAGTGGAGGCTGGGCCCTAAACAGTCTCACCACTTCTTTACATGTGAAGTAGGACAGGGTGGTGAACACCTAAAAGGTCCTCCTGGAAATAAAGAGCTTGGATGTGCCCACAATAACAAGTTGTCCAGTCAGGTCACTTGACCCACCTGGGAAGGTTAAGTTACCTTTCAGGACATTGACAAGCGACACCACAAGCTATTATTACCTGTAATCTGTATCACAATCAATATTGGACACAAATCTCAGTGTGCAGTGCACGTGCACACACACACACACCCACACACCCACCAGCTATCCTGTACTTCTCAGCAGGCAGTGTCAAATCTTTTCAATAGTAGATACAGGACACACAAAAAGATGCTTTTAGTGTCAGATCTCAACACAAAGGAATTTTCCTATTTCTCTCCTCACCATCTCTGACAATTTCATGAAGATCAAAAGTCAAAGAAATTCATAAGAGGCAACAGGGAAAGACCATGCACAGCAACCTAGAGCAGGCTGAGGTCTGATGGGCTTCTCAGTGCAAATGACATACAAAGGCCCTGTGATTAATAGTAGATTTAAACCTGTACATCAAGCTGGGCATTGGTGGCACACACCTTTAATCCCAGCACTCAGGAGACAGAGGCAGACAGATCTCTGAGTTTGAGACCAGTCTGGTCTACAGAGAGAGAGAGAGAGAGAAAGAGAAAGAAAGAGAGAGAGAGAGAGAGAGTGAGTGTGTGTGTCTGTTCCAGGACAGCCAGGGCTACACAGAGAAACCTTGTCTCAAAAAAACCCCCGGAACATCAAGGTAACATTTAATTCAAAGAATCTGAAAAACATTGACCCAACATTCTCAAACCATTGCTAACAAGCTATTGCATGAACCTGCACAACAAGTTTTTTCTCTTGGTTAGGCTGCCTGACACTGGGTCGCCACAGTTGCTGCAGGCCTAATTTACCTTTACCTTTAAAAAGTTGTAGTTTGAAGCCTGCCTGATCCTGGGCAGAGGTAGCAACCCAGTGGAGCAAAGATTTTAAACACTCTCTCTACAAGGCACTATTGTGCAAGAGGCATAGTAGGCAACACAGCTACATGATTTACAATCAGAACTGTGTGTGAGGGGCACAGAACTAGTTACTGCTCCTTTCCTTCCAGGATGAGTAGACTAAGTATGAGTCAGCTGTTATTCACAGTTAAACCTTGTGTGTGTGCTGTGCTGGAGATTCAAACCAAAGGCTTCACGCAGCCAAGAAAAGCATTCTACCCGTAGCTCTTAAACCTTTTTGAAGTGGCAATTCTGCACATTTGCCTCACAAGCAAGAGAGCAGTGTGGTGATCTAGTGACTCGTTTTCAACAGATACCTAAGGATAAGTGAAAGACAGTCCATTAGGAGAAACCTTTATGACAAGGAGTCAATGCAGCAGCTCCAACAATGCAGCTCACACATCTGTGACCGGCCCTTCCAACATTCAACTCTTGAGAAACAGAGAAACCGGGTAGTAACACTGCTCATCAAATCTCGGTCTAAGCCATTCGTGACACTGCTGCTGAAAGCTCAAAAGTGAGGACATTACAGCCAGTCACCCATGGTAGACGCTGTCGACACTGATTACAGAGGAAGGACATGGAACCAGCACCAAAGCACCACGGCATCCCAACAGTCTTCTTTCTGACCCACACTGCAGGAAACACCAGAATCAGCCTGCAGGAAAAACTGCTGACCACCACTAGTGAAACAAGAACAACAACGGACTACTCCAACATTGGCTGTGGCATCCACTACTGGGCTCTCCGGTAACTTCTGGGACCACGAGCAGCTCTTGCCTCGCAAAACAGCCACTTGTTGGATGGAGAATTCCTCCTTGATGAGAGCCGATTCCCTGGCACTTAGGTACCATACAACGGTTCAGCTCCATCAGCTCCATTCAGTCCAGCATGGCAAGACCACTCTGACTGGACAGTTAGACCGGGGTACTGGATCTGGCCTCTGTTAGCTGCAGATTGCTCAGGGACTGGAAGCAGATTGTCCCAAGGCCAGGCTAAAGACTCCCCAACTCAGAAGGGCCCTTCTAACCCACCCAAAAGAACATCAAGAGGGTCCGTCAAGAGGCGAAACGAGGCTCAATTCCTCCAGAGGCCACCAAGCCCCGGAGGACAAACCTCAATGAAGATCTGGTCGGTGAAGTGTGGGGCCCAAATCACGGCTCACCGGGGGACAGAGTGGGCACTCCGGGATCCGTTGAGATCCACAAATGCGCTTGCTAGATCCCGGCACCGGGTTCAGCCGTCCCGCGCCCCTATCCACCCGCCCCAGCCCGTCCCCTCCTAAAGCTCCGATCCTCCGGGAACCGGGCTCGAGAAACAGAGGAGGAAGACCTCGGTACCTGAGTGACCTTGACGCCGTCTCAGGGCCACCCAAGCCTCAGTTTCCCCCGCCCCAAGGCCCGTGCCGTCTCTGACGCTGCCGACCAGACCTTCTAGCAGGAAGACCCCGTAGCCCCCGAGGCCTGCTCCCCGTTGCCGGGCTCCCGGGCCGCGGAACCTAGGAGGGGCGCAGAGAGGAACAGCAGGAAACCTGGCTTCCTGGAGAAGAGCCGGTGTCCAGGCCGGACTTCCGGGCTGCGGCCCGCGGCGGGCGGCCAGGCGTATGGGCCGCGGAGTGGGGGAGGGCCGAGCGGTCGTGGGCGACGCGGGACTGGGGGAGCCCCGATCCTCTGCCCGGCCTGTCGCCAGGTCCACTGGACACAGATCCCGGCCCGCTTGACCAGACCGGGACCTTAGCAACCTGTACTGAGCGCCCCTCGACGCCCACGATGGTCAGCCCGTGGCCTCCCCAGCCTCGGCCCCAGCGCTCCCCGCGCCTCACCTCCGCGGCGGCTGCTCCCAGCCAGGCGTTGGTTTCGCTCCCACAAGATGGCGGCGCTGACGGCAGCCACGTCAGCGCCTGCCGCAGGGCACGCCGGGGGAAGAGGGCGGGCACTCCTGAAGTCCCGCCCCTAGATAAATGGCGCTTGCGCGTCTGCACCGGGTAGCCTTCACGGGGCGGAGCCAAAGTCTCTTTGCTTCCGGATCGCGGCCAGGACTAGCACACCGGCTCCCCGGACTAGAACGCGCAAGGGTGTGGTGTGTGGATTTCCGTGTCCAGCGACGCGTGCGCACGCGCGTCTTCCTGCGGAATTCCAGCCCATTCCGCGGATGCAGGGTTGAGGACAGTAAGCGTTCTGTTGTGGAGCTCCAAGGTCAGAGTGGGAAGGTCGTGTCAGCATTGGGGGGGGTGTGATGTCCCTCTCAGAGGTCTCCAGAGTCTGATGTTTCAGCTGGCCCTGAGCACTGAAGATAATGATGTGACTTACGGGTGGCTAAAGCGGAAAGAGGCGCAGGCCAAGTGTCAGATACGCGCCATGCCCCTCCACTGGCTTTGGACATTTGTGCGCTCTCAGAGCTGATCCAGAGAACCAGAGACTTGCGTGGAGTCAGCGCTGCCTGAGAGGGTACTGTAGGGTGCCCCTGATGCGGGGAGAGGACTCCTTTAGGGTGCAGGTGAGGAAGAGCCTGTTCCGTCGCCCTGGGAAGCCTTCCCTGCCTGATCAGAAGCAGCAGCATTCTGTGCCCCCCCCCATCTCTGCAGGACTCAGACCACCCTGTCCAGTTCCTTCATCCCATTTGTTGTGAAGAGTCCCACAGGCAAGAGATGTTGAAGGACCTAGGGCTTTTTTTTTTAAATCATTATTATTATTTACTTTTGAATCTGTTGAGTTGGCAGGATGCAGTTCTCTTACCTGGGCCTAGATCAGTCACTCCTGTGTCCAGACACAAGGTGCAGGGCATCCTCACTGTTTTGGGCTACCCTTTTAAGTGCCACGTCTGTAAATTTCTATGGGGGTAGCTGCCAGTTCTTTCCCACCCTCAACACACAAGTATTCCTATAAAGCCTTGGGTGACGTTGGCTCTTCACACCCTGGAGAAATTGCAGGATATCCCAGAGACCTGTGATCCCAGCCATATAAGCCTGTCACCCTGGTGGCGCATGTCTAATCCTACAACTTGGGTGGCAGAGGCAGGCGGATCTCTGTGAATTCGAAGCCAGCCTAGACCTAGTTCTAGGACAGTTAGGACTGTGACACAGAGAAGCCTTCTCTTCGGGGGGGTGGGGGGGGGAACGACGGGACGAAAGGCCAATAGCAAGGCAGGAGCAAGGATAGGTGGGGCTAGCAGCAGAGATTATAAATAGAAAGCAAAATCTGGGAGAAGAAAGAAGAGAAACAAGAAGAGGAGGACATCAGGGACCATTCACCCAGCTACACTGCAAGCCACAGAGAAAGAAGTAAAGAAAGGTATACAGAAATAAAAGAAGATAAAAGCCCAGAGGAAAAAGGTAAACAGGTTAATATAAGATAAGAAAAGCTGGCAAGAAGCAAGTCAAACTAAGACCAGGCATTCATAACTTAAGAATAAGCCTCTGTGTGTGATTTACTTGGGAGCTGGGTGGTGGGTCCCTCAAAAAGTCATAAGAGTAAAACATCACACAATAGTTACCAGTCAGGAACCAAATTCGCTTTCTGTTCCTAAAGAGACAAAATTGTGGCAAAATAGAGACAGAGTGCTAGTCCCTCCATTTGTCCTAACCTGACCACTGTACATTCTAGTCATGCCCAAAAACTTACCATGTACCCCATAAATAATTATTTGTGCCAGTTAAAAACTTAATAGCCCTTGTAGATAAATTTGAAGAGGACCCTACTACTACTAAAACCTAGATAGGCTTTCCTTACCTCACCAGGTCAGGTTAAACCTCCAGTGAAATTTTCATATTGTACATAAATTTTGTTGAATTGTATATTCACTAAGTGTATATCTTTTTCAAGAGTTATTTATTTTACTTTTGTATGTGAGTGCCTACAAATATATATGTATACCATGTGGGTGCCTGGTGCCCAAGGATGCCAGAAGAGGGGTCAGATCCATTGGAACTGGGGTTATGGTGTTTATAAGCTGCCATGCAGGTGCTGGGAACCAAACTCAAGGCTTCTACAAGAGCATCAAGAAGTCTGATGCACAGAACCATCTCTCCAGCCCCGAGTGTGTGTTAAAGAGGAAACTGGACAACAGCTGAAGAGATGACTCACCCCTGAAGAGTATGTACTGCTCTCGCAGAGAACCCAAGGTCTGCTCCCAGCTGCCTATAACTCCAGTTCTGGGGGATCTGATGCCTCTGACTTCCACAAGCACCTGTACTTACACTACACACACACACACACACACACACACACACACACAATTAAAAGGTATCTTTTAATAAATGGAGTACAGACCTAAACGGAAACTCTGAACAGAAGAATCTAAAATGACTGAAAGACACTTAAAGAAATGCTCAAAATCCTTAGCCTTCAGAGAAATGAAAATCAAAACAACTCTGAGATTCCATCTTACACTAATCAGAATGGCCAAGATCAAAAACACTGATGACAACTTATGCTGGAGAGGATATGGGGTAAAGGGAACACTCCTCCATTGCTGGTGGGAGTGCAAGCTGGTACAGCCTCTTTGGATATCAGTATAGTGATTTCTCAGAAAATTAGGAAGCAACCTTCCTCAAGACCCGGTAATACCACTTTTGGGTATATACCCAAAGGATCCTCAATCGTACCACAAGGATATGTGCTCAACTATATTCATAGTAGCATTGTTTGTCATAGCCAGAACCTGGAAACAACCTAAATGCCCCTTGACCAAAGAATGGATAAGGAAAATATGATACATTTACACAATGGAGTACTACACAGCAGAATAAATAATGACGTCTTGAAATTTGCAGGCAAATGAATGGATCTAAAAAAATATATATTGAGTGAGGTAACCCAGACCCAAAAAGACAAATATCATATGTGGTTTTTAAACATAAAGCAAAGAAAACCAACCTACAAATCACAATCCCAGAGAACCTAGCCAACAATGAGGACCCTAAGACATACATGGATCTACTACATGGGTAGATCCCATACATTTTCTACTACATGGGTAGTAGAAAAAGGCAAGATCTCTTGAGTAAATTGGGAGCATGGGGACCATGGGAGAGGGTTGAAGGAGAGGGGAGGGAAGAGACAGGGAGGAGAGCAGAGAAAAATGTATAACTCAATAAAATCAATTAAAAAAGGTATTTTTAAAATTTTTTTAAGGGGCTAGAGAGATGGATCAGTGGTTAAGAGCACTGATTGCTCTTCTAGAGGCCCCAAGTTCAATTCCCAGCACCCAACCCACATGGCTGTTTACACCTGTCTAAGCAAAACACCAATGCTTATAAAATAAAAACAAAACAAATTAAAAAAAAAAAGCCGGGTGGTGGTGATGCACACCTTTAATCCTAGCACTTAGGAGGCAGAAGCAGAGGAGTCTCTGAATTTGAAGTGAGTTTCAGTACAGCCAGGACTGTTTCACAGAGACACTCTGTCTCGCAAAACCAAAACAAAAACCAACAACAACAAAGAAGAAATTTTAAATAAAATCTTTACTTTCTAAAAAATAAAATCTCCAAAATTTTTAAAAGGAATAGTAAACCAAAGAAACTTTATTTTGGGGGAAGAGTTTAGCAAAATGAAAAAGATGGAGAGACAGGATGGAATTTATGTAAGATGCAGTTTTGAAAATGATAAAACAGATTGCTATATGCCCACTCCCAAGTTAAGAAACATACTTCCTTCTTTGTGCTTCTGTTTTGGGCCCTGTCCCGGTGGGCGGGCTGGGGGAGCAGAACGGGCATACATATCTGTGGGATCCCTGAGTGGGCATGTCTGAGGACAGACCCTACCAGGGAATGTCAGTTGCTTGGGTAAACTGAGGCTAACGAGAGTGCTTCAAGACCAGGAGTGCATTTCCTCTCTGAGGTCCCTGCATGGGCCAGTTCTGGCCAGGAGGGGGCGAAGTGAGCTGACTGAAAAGAGTTCGTCCGGAGGTCCAGGATCTTCAGCTACTTGTACTGGGAAGCTAGGAGTGCCTATGGAGTCTCGTCTCCCTTTCAGCTGATCATACACTGGGGCAAAGTCCAGGCCCTTCCCTTTAGACCAACCTACTCCTGAGGACCTAGTCAGGGGCATGGATGCCAAGTGGCCTGGCTTCTCCAGTTTTCTAAAAAGACAACCTTACCTAATGTAAGGACCAGAGACAGGAATGCCTCCAGGAGATGAAAGGAACTCTGTGTCTTGAGGACCCCATCCTGTCCCCCAGACAGCTGATGCAGCCTCTGTCTGGAAGATGGGTGGTATTCATGTCAGGCTACTGATGCTAGTTTGAGCCCAGTGATAAGGAGTTTAACCTTCACATTTGACTGTTTCCAGCCCTGTGGCTCTTTCCTTGGCCCCTTAGGGCTCAGGTCCTTTGGTTATTTTACACACTACAGCGTTCTCTGGGATTCCTATGGATTCCCAGGGAGGTCACCACTGCACCAGGAATCTGGCCTGTTGGGAGGTTTACACACTGGGCAGATTGGAATGCACCACAGGGTTTCCTGATCTACTCTGCTTGCTCTCAAACTCTCCAAAGCCCTTTCCAGCACGGGTCTCTGAGCAGGCTAACTGGCTGAGAAAGTGACTTCACGGTGCCTTTAGGGAAATGCTGAGCAGCCCTGAGTCTCACTTGAACTGCACTTGGTACTCTGTCTTTTGTTCAACATGCTCATACCGTCAAAACCCTGGATCTCGTACCTGGTTGCAGAAGAAACTTTACATCCTTACTGACTTCCGCAGAAGGAGGGATACAGGGAAAGCCCTTTCCTTCCCTAATCCTTTGTTCGTTTGTTTGTTTTTGTGAGCCAGGGTTTCGTGGCTTAGCCCTGGCTGTCCTGTAATTTGAGACCTGGTTGGCCTTGAACTCACAGAACTCCAGCCACCTCTGCCTCCCACGTGCTAGGATTAAAGGCAAGGGACGTCATGCCCAGATTTTTTCCTAATTTTTATCACACTCCTTTCTCCAGGCTTTAGAAACTAAGAGA